TACCTACATTGTGAATGGCCCCCAGCCTGTTCCATCCGTGCTATTTCTGCAACTCCTTGATATTTTGGGGCTTTGTTTCTTTGCTTGTTTCAGATAAACATAACACACATTATCAGGCATCTTTCATTTGGGAAGGATTATCCAGGTCTTGTGAATCCACTTGATGGAACCGTTGTCACAGCTCATCAAGGTATTGGTTTGAAGCAGCCTTTCAGTCTAAAATAAAGGTGACAACCAGCACAACTTTTGTTTACCGTTTGTTGGGTGATTAAGTAAAATAGATTTAGCTAAACTAATCATTTTAATTATAAAATGGAGATTGGTAACTTTCCAGCAGAATCATAAAAATGCAGCGTTGCCTATCTTTTTCTACTTCGGACTAAGGAATATATGCCTAAAGGGACCGTATCCTTTCTTCTTTCTCCATGTTTTCATTAACTGTGTGAATAGAGTTAGGCATTAATGGATATCCCCTAATTGCATGGTCTTCTTTACAGTATCATCTTTTAATTTCTCCTTCAATTTGTTTGAACAGGACAGCAACAAAAAGAGGGGTTTGTTAATCTTATTGGGTATTTTAAGGAAGGACTCATGGACTCAACCTCTCACTTTATACTCTCTTCATCTATTAACTTAGTTTTATTAATTGCAGATCCAAGTTATAATAATAAAAATTTATGATCGAAAGCCTGCTGAAATTCATAAAATTCCACCCCTAAAATGGCTGGTGCAAATCTATTTTAAATTCTTGCTGAATCCTAATCAATGTTTTAAAATTTTTGAAGTTTTTAAATTTCTTGAGGTTTTCTCCACAAATCCAGCTTTTTACTTTTTGATAGTTGTGTGCAATTGCAAGCCACTTCCTACTCTGAAAAACACTTTGAGATCTGTGCAAAACTCAGAATGTTCCAGAAATTAACAACACTGTTTGCACATCTCTAGTTTTTAGATGTCCACAGTAGGTGGCAGCACCTACAAATCTTGGTTTATCTGAGGAAAGATAAGCAAGGTCATACCTGATCAATACTTGGGTGGGACACTATAAATAACTCAGGATTATTAACTGAGAAGTCTTAAAACATTCAGGAAGAAGGCGGCTACATAAATATTCCCACATAATCATCAGGAATCTATGTTAATCATTACAGTAATTCTAGAGGAAAACTTGGAATTTTTTCCTCAGGCAGCAATGTAATAAGTTGTGTGATAGTCTTTTTTGATACTGAGTAGAGTTTCACAAGCTGTGTGAATGGGAAGATAAGATCCTGGTGGATTTCATGCCCAAATCTATTAATGCTTACCAAACTACTGGTTGAGTTCTACTCATCAATTTTGGTTACTTACTTTTGGTTACTTCTGGTTACTTGACATGAGCTATTCTGTGCATGAGGGAACTGGGTGCTCCAGCCCAGAAAAATGTTTCAGGTTGTTTGAGTCCTTGTATGGAACAATAGGGGTTTTTTGTTGTTGTTCCATATACTGTCGCCCAGAATGCATTTTCCAGTTAAAAATGGTTTGAGAAGGAAAAGGGTATAAGTCATTCTTGGTTTTCTATGCCAATAATTTATGTGGACATCCCTGGAAGTGAGAGATTTCCTTTTCAGTGGGATGTGCAAACACTGATGGCAATTGTGGTTGTTGCAGGAAAGGAAAGATGTTGGGTGATGGGGTGGCTGACAATATAGACGCAATAAAAAATGGGGTGATGCAAACCAGCTTTGTTGTGCCCTGTAAAATCATTTTGGGATTTTTTAAAATTTTATTTTAGTCTGAAGTTGAAACAACCAAGTGATTTTTTTTCCGGCTGAACTACATATAATCCAAAACAATCCAGCAGAGTCATTGGACACCATGCGGTATTTGTACTGGGTTCAAAACACAGCATATTGTCTGTTTCACCAATTACGATTTTATTTTATCTTTTAGCTTCAATGATGTTTCAGTATTTCGTAAAAGTAGTCCCCACAGTGTACATGAAAGTTGATGGTGAGGTAAGAGCTGAATATTGTCTTTTCTTTAAATACTTTTGTTTAAATTTGGTTAAATTCGACATTAGATGAATCATCCTTAATTCAGATTCTATTATTGTTTTCTTTTCCTTTTACATAACCCCAAAATCTGCTGTGAGAGCTGCAGGTGGAGAGGTTACAGGATGAAGGAGAGTTCAGATTTTCAGCAGAATCCTTTCTGGGGGAAAAGTAATCTGCTATATTTAATTGGGTGTTAAGAGATAGCGTTCATAAATACAAGATAGAAAATTGCAAGCAATTCTATATATTTTGTTATTAAGCCATGAATAGCAGGCCTAGGATCTTCCAAAATAGAATCACAGAAATTCTAGAATTTTTGAAAGGAGACAGTTGGATTGCAGGTTACTGTTACTATGGTTGCAATCTTCTTGCATACATAAAAGAGAAATGAATGATATGTACTTAAGAATGCTTCTACCCGAAGAATATGCAAGGCCATACTCAGCTGCATTTTTCTTTTTCTTTTCTTCAGTTTGGATGATGCCTGACCCTAATCAACTATTTTAACATTTTTGTAGATGGTGAGGACAAATCAATTTTCAGTAACAAGGCACGAAAAAATAGCCAATGGACTAATTGGCGACCAAGGCCTACCTGGTGTGTTTGTACTATATGAGCTTTCTCCCATGATGGTGAAATTAACAGAGAAGCACAGGTAAGAGACTCTCAACATTAGCCTGGATGCGAAGCAAAAAAACCATTTTCCCCCAGATGAAATTTCATTTAACGTGTCTGTAGAAGCCATGTTTCAAGTGAAATGTGTGATGCATAGATAGTTTTTGAAAGACACTCTTTAAAATCATCAGATCCAAATTGATCTGACTGTCTGGCTTTTGTCTGCCTATAAATGTAATCGTAAATATAATTAATGAAATGGCTTTGATAAAACAGTTCTATCACTGATTTCAATTTTTCCCTTCAGAATGTAAATATATATTAATGTTTTTCCAAATCCAGGTCCTTTACACATTTTCTCACAGGTGTCTGTGCCATTATTGGAGGAGTGTTTACAGGTAACTGGATTTTTGTTTAAATAGTTTTCTATTCATTTTGAAACTGAAATTAGTAAATGTTTTGATCAATACATCATACTTTCAGGGCATTTTCAAATCAGTTCTGCTATTATTTAAAAGGTTTGCCATAATGAATGGAAATAAAATGAGAAATAGGGAAAATTTGGCAGTTGATATTATTAATGAGTAATATTTATGGCTTTTACTTATTATACAACTTTTGAAAAGTATAACTCCTGATTGATTCAACAAGATTACATTCACATGGATATGAATGTAGTATATCATAAGAATAGAATTTGGAAAGAATGCCAGCGGAGTTCTTTTTATTTTGGGGCAATATTGCAGGATTTTTTACTTTTCTTTTCTATATGAGCTAATTAAACTTCCCTTCTTTTTCCTCTTTTCAGTTGCAGGACTCATTGATTCTTTGATCTATCATTCAGCTCGAGCCATTCAGAAGAAAATTGAACTTGGAAAAACTACATAGATTAGTGTCTACAAACCTTCCTAAAAGACTTGAAGAAATGAAAAATAACCCTAACATCAATGTCCAATATGAATGTGCCAAGTGAAGATAATTGGAACTTTGAGAAGAGACCGACATTCCAGTCCTGGGACAAGTAAAACAGGGATTAAATTTAAACATCGATGTTTGTGGCTGTTAAAACATTTCTGTTTTAATATTCACATTAATCTGTTGGCATATATTTCAGTTTCTATATTCCAAAAGAAAGCGTCACCCAGAATATAGACTACAAGAACTTCTACATGTCTAAAACTAGTTATTTCTAATTTAATTTGTATTTGGTGATACTGTAAATTGTGTGGTTGGAATAAATTCTCAGGAAAATGTTTTACTAAAGTGATGTGATAAGTGACTTTTTTAAAGCTTGTTTATGTAGTATCAAGAGTTGTTATATCCAAAAATATTCCTTAGGGCAGCCATTTTCCCCTCTTCATTGGTATGTAATACTTTAATTCTAACCACAGTCTGCAATAGGTCACATGTTCTTCATCTTTGGGTATTCATTTTCTAAACTTGATTAGAATATTTTGCAATACAGTGTGAAATTACTGGTTCCTGTCTCACACCTATTTTCCCAATGCCTCATGTATTTATTTGCAGTTTCTCATTCTTCATCTCACTGTCCAGCTGATGGAAATATCCTGTTATTAATCATTGTGATGATTGATCAGGTAAGGTGATTGTTTATGATAATGTGATAATGATGACCTATTGAATTTATGCCTACTCTAGGCATATTTGGAACCTAATGTACAAATAGTTTCCTCACTGGCTTCCATTGCATCTTGGGGGTATATATCAACTGTACCACTATGGCACTTTACTCTTCATGACGTTAACTTAAATGTCTATAGCTGTGTAACTGAATTTTTGCTGTTTCATTGATCACAACATTTATGTGTTATTTTTTTGAGACCAGCAGTGGGTAAAGTGTAGCACTGAGTGACATTTGGGGTCGATAGGAGGAATCGCACTGACGTTTTGTGAAATGATAAGAGTCATATTTGATTAAAGAATAATACAAACTGAGCAGGAACAGCTGGTCAGGATTTTCCAGGTTTGGGGAATTAGGTTAAATATTGTGTGGAGATGGAGGTTCCCTGCGTAAAACCCATCAGAGCAGTTGGAGGGGGTCAATTAAGTAGGGTTGGGTGCAGTGGTGGGATTCAAATTTTTTTACTACCAGTTCTGTGGGCGTGGCTTGGTGGGCATGGCAGGGGAAGGATACTGTAAAATCTCGTCAGAGGTGGTATTTGCCAGTTCTCCGAACTACTCAAAATTTCTGCTATCGGTTCTCCAGAACTGGTCAGAACCTCCTGAATACCACCTCTGGTTGGGTGCGAATCTTACCCTTTGTTTATTTACTCGTCTCTAATTGGAGCAGCATAAAAGTATTCAGATAATAGTGTATTTTTTTGCCCAGTGCAATAGATTTATCCTGCAGTTCAGTTTTACTTCACAGAGAAAAAGTTTATCACGCAATATGTCTAATCACGGGAATGGTCATGCCAACAAAAATTGATCTAGTATCATAGAAAACTGTGTTATGAACCAAATCATTGACTACTTAGCTTATCATTGTTTAAATAGAAGTTTTAAGTAAAAAAATAATAATGTGAATTTCCCCATTTTTGCTAACATCACTCTTACATGTTTTGATATTGGGTCTACAATTGATGGAGCTAATATAGAGTTGCCAATTAGTGTATTAGACATTCCTAAATAATGGCTGTTGTAATATATATCTAGAATTACTCCAAACAGCAAGATGTATATACATTTAATAAACATATTTCCAGCAATCATTTCAAATAAAATTAAAATAATAATCATTTCAAGTAATATTCAAATAATATTAAAAATTTGGATAATTTATTGAGAACTTAATTTACAAATTATGATGGAGGGAAGGAGAAACACCAAATGAGTTATCAGAAAGCCTATTTTTCAAATTCAAAGATGTATTTCACATTCAAACACCAATTCTGAAAATAATCAGAAATATGTTTCTTTTGATGCTACTTTTGGTGCTCCAATTTCTTCTGGTGTCAAAAACACAGCTAAGTAAATCTGAATTGTTCTGTCTATCGTTTCATACTCAGAGAATGGAGCAAAATCTGAAGCTAGTAACAAATAGTGTTTACAGTCTCTGTTGTTCTAAAATGCATACATTCAGAAAAACAGGACCATGTTGCTCATATTTTTAATATTTGGTGCATGAAACAAACAGAAATGTCTCCTCTTCTTGTGTTTTATTCTAGTTTTACTTTTCTTTGAACCCAGAACAGAGATAATTTTTAAAAATCTGAATGTGAAGACCTGTAAGACTAAGATAATTTTGGGGGGCATTATATCCCTATTTCAATCTAATTCAGGAAGTTTAGACGCATAGTGTAAAGTATCAACTATTTATAGAATGCCAATTTGCCTTCAGTTGCCAGCCTTTCAATGAGTTGTAGTTCAAAAGTGCCATTGTGTACTCCAGACTTGAGAAAGGCTCCTGCATTATGATTGTCTTCCCAGTAGTGATGCCAATTCCCTTTGCTGTCTGCACCAAAGCCAAAGACAGAAACCTACCAAAGCAAGAGAAGCAAGTGAGAAAACAATGTCTGCAAAATACTTAAATGTTGCACATCTACTGAAGAGACCAGATACCTAATCTCTGTTATATGTTTTGAATTAGACTTCTCCCAGGTCCCTGTCATTGCCATCCTGGATGGAAGAGATGGCATTGAAACACAAAACATCAAAAATACTGTTTTAGGTTGCCTGCCACCCTATAATCAATTGCATTACATAAATGCCGGAGTTGCATAATTTATATCCCTCCTCAAATGTTGCTTTTACTTTATGTTTTAGAAAGTTATGTATGGGTTTTGCAAAGTGGAAGGTGAAACAAGTAGGTAAAATATAGCTCATGTTGAACAGTAGGTTGAATTTGGTTTCTTATCATAGTTTTTCATTTTGTTGATTAAAGTACAAAGTGTCCTATAAAATATCAATATTTGCCATATATAGTCTGCCATTTAGTAGCTTCCCAACTGCCATTTGGCAGCTTCCCAACAAGATTTTTATTACTAAATAAATGGTAAAGAGAAATTGTTTTGGGAACAGAGGTAAAAGTGGTTAGTGAAGCAATAGGAACTCAATAGCTCTTCAGCTCAGAACCCATTTACAGCATGATTCCCAATCTTTCTGGCTCTGCAGACTGGGGGCTAAGGTGTCGGTGGTGTTGGTGGGGAATGGTTCCACACAAGCAGCAGGAGAATGGGGAGCTCTGTCGGAGCTTTGCGTACTCAAAGGGTGGCCCGCTGCTTGTGTGGCCTGGTTCCCAATAGGCTGCAGTCCAGTATGATGCCACAGCCCAGGGATTGGGAACCCCTTATTTACAGAGATAAGAGGAATGGGTTTTTTAGGTGCACTTACCCGTGTGCAAGTATGAATGGAAAAAATCAGTGTAATCAACCCAGTGGAAGGATACTTTCCATGATGCTGTGTCCATTTGTCTTGGATATATTTCAGGAAACCAGGGTGAATTATTAGAATCTAAGAAGAAAATTTGATAAAATAAGATTCACCCAGATTGATCATAAATTCTTCCTCAAGTTGGTCCATCTATTATAAAAATAACTTCAGAGCAAGAAAAGTCCTTGATGTACCCTAGGACTTAAAATAGAATGGATGATCCCCTCTCCCTGGACACATCAGATCTTGACAGTATGTGCAGTTATTCCATGGCTTCAGGGCCACGGAACCACAAAATACCATACCTGGCTGTAGTCTGGAACAAGAACAGTTCATATTCCTAAGAGATTCCTAGTTTGATCCTCCCTAATACAAGTTTGCTTTGACTGTTAAGAATGTGTGTAGTGGCCTCCATAACCATTTTCCTTCTGCCTCCTCTATTTTATTTAGCAAGGAATATTGCCAGCTTGAAATATGATTTAATATATAAGATAAATATAAAACAATACATTTATTTATGAAGTTGAGACTCCAATAGTGATTATTTTTAATCCACAAAAATAAAAATATAATAATAAATGCATTATTGCTTTTTTAATTTACACCTTACCTTGTTTTTGTCGGCTTTAATAAATCGTTTAACTCTTTTGTACGTTCTGAGAAAGGAATGGAAGAATCTTTACCATTCAATGTCATTCAATTTTCTTTTAATCAATATTGTAGACATTGTAGAAAGATAACTATATTAGTCTATGGTAGCCCCAAATCAGGAGACTTCTGATTTTAAACATAATTTTATTTTTGTTCCTCTGGTTGATAGATTAAAACCCATTTATGGAAAACCGGTTTCATGGGAACTTTCTTTAATAAGTGATAATGACAAATAAATATCTGATATAGTGAGAACTGTGTTTGCCATCTGAGATTGGAACCATGCTTGATATTCTGATAGCACTAGGATTGCTTGATAGCATGATATTACTATGCTATTGCTCAGTCTTTTATATGCAATTACTTAAGAAGGATACTTACTGCTGAATATCTCCTGTTGAAAGGGCACTGGCCAACCATTTGAGATCCAGAGGTTTGAAAGGGACTAGTACAAGATGCACATTAGGATGGAGATTCATAGCACTCTCTGGGTACATGAAATGGTGTGTGGTTCGTGTACCAACATCTTCCTCAAAACCTGTAACTTGTGCAGTGTTCATTCTTTGAGAATATTTAAAAAAAAACCAATCAGAATTTTCTTATTCAAGATGCCTAGGACACACACATGAAAAAAAAAATGTTACTTAAACTTACTAAGTACAAAATCTGGATCTAAGTCACAGATCCAGATAAAGTTAGTGGATATTGTCTACATCATGGGGGTCAAATTCATGACATGTTGCTGTCATGTGATGTATCATGACATTTTCCCCCTTTACAAAACTGGGGTGGGAGAGGCCTACACGTGACGCATCCAGCCCACAGGTTGCCAGTTTGACACCCCTGGCCTACATGATATTCAATATGGATATTCTGTTTTCTCATGTGGTTATCACTTTTTGAGAGAAACTTAAACAGAATAACATATATTGCGTGTTAGAAGTACATAATATGATTCATAAGCTGCATGCAGCATGCCTTTTGTAGTCTCAACAGAAGATTTGGGGTGGATTTTAAGGGGCAAATTTTAAACCTTAAACCTTGTAAAATGTTAAGGCACTCATTTCATGGCTTAAAAAATCAGCTTTACCTCATGGGGCCTACTTTAGGTCCAAGTGTCTACTTTTAGAATGTGACATGTTGGGTAAAGTATATGCAGCTATTTACATAACAAGATGTATAACGCTACTCTTAGAAATGGGGATTTTTCTAACTCCCAGCTGGATGTAGACTGAGATCTCTATACCTGGCCCACAAATAGCCCTTTTCTTCCCTAAGGCAATAGAGCAGGGGTGTTAAACTGGCAGCCAGCAAGCCAGATGCATCATAAGCAGGCCACGCCTATCCCAATTCCACAAAGAGGGAAAATGTCATGATATGTCATGTGACAGCAACATGACACCGCGAGTTTGACACCCATGCAATAGAGTCTTACACTAGCCAGTTATAATATCTGATCACAGCAGCAACATATTAGATTCCTGATTGCAAACTTAGGATCATTTATCAGGATAAAAACGTTTTAGTATGGTAATCGTCGTTGTTTCATTGTCAATTTGTTTGTGGCCACATGCTGCCAACAGAGGAAATCACATCTTTTCTATATCCACAAATTTTCACTTTTATTAAATTTATATGGCGCCATCTTGCCTAGAGGTGATTCTAGGATGCTTACAAACCAGTAAAAAGCAACAAGATAAACCATTAAAATATTAGAATAATAAATATTAACATTAAAATTGGCAAGATGCCAAAAAGGGAGGAAGATTATTATTTCTATAATCTTTTTTCTAATCTGGAAGGATAGGCTGTACAATACTTGAGATTTAATTCAGATTCAAGGTGCTTCAGAAAGTAAATGCAGTTTTTGTCTCTGACTCAATACAATATCATCTGTTTCCTAGATCCCAACAGAGTTGTGTGATCATGGAAAACACTGCTTTTGCTGCTACTGTTTTAACAAATCAGAGATAGGTGCTGAGTTCATAGCTCTGCATATTCAAAACACCGCCTTTGAATCAAATCAAACCTGGCATAAATATCCCAACTCCCTGCCATTTTAGGGCAGTCAGACTAGTTAATGTAATAATAAAAAAACAAAGAAATAGAAAAATATCACTCCTGGGAGAGGTTTACACCAATCTGTTGTGATGTCTTTTGAATCTAGTTTGAGGGCTGCAGATCTGTCATTCTTTGTGTCTATGCTGTGTTGTTCTACCTACTTACCTCATCACAAACTTGTGAGAATCTATCTTCTCTCCATATTTAGAGCCCCTCAGCCTTCCTGAGTTTCCTACCACAGCACAAGTTCCACAATGAACAGCATCCTGAACTGTAGCAGTGGGTGACAGATATTTTACCATCTCCTGAATTTGGCTGCCATATTTTGAACTTTGTAGCTTCTGATGGAATAAAACAAAGCATTAGAAGCAGGGTGGAGAAACTTCCAATAACACCTGCCCGAGAAATGTTCTACTTTGGGAAAGAAATACAGACCCTTTGGATACCTCTGAATTGCACTGGTCAATACTGATTTCAAAAATGGGTCCTATATCTATAGGAGATTGACTATGAAAAACCATCACTCTTTCATAAACACAGAAGGTACAGCTGTGTAGCCCCAATGCATTGGAGCATTTTTTGGGTAAAAGGACTAGGTGACTTTTAGATTTGCATGATACACTGAACCAAAAACCAGCTAGTCACATTCTAGCCTAATAAATTATATAAATATTACTTTTCTGAAATGTATAGTTTCAGAATTGCATTAAGCAGCTCAAAATACTGAGTCAATTTATGATAAGGTAGAAACAAATTCTCATTGCAATACTGATCTCTTCCTACTAAATGGATTTATCCTTTCTTAACCATGATTGATTAATTTAGGGTTATTCATAAATTTGTAATGATTAATGACATAGAAATAGAAAAATATTAAATATATGGAAAGAAACATTTCAGTAAATATGTCTAGTTAATTTCTATATTCATTAGATAAAATCAAAATTAATTTTTAATGTAGCTCACCACACATCAAACACCTAAATAGTCCTAAATAGAAAAAAATGTTCTGTACCTTAGATACATAAGACATGAGAACAGAGCTGAAAGGTTACTAGAAACCAAAGGACAGCTTGAAAATTTCAAAGTGGCTGACTTGGATTATGTACATTATGGAGAGGGAGGCTGTGGCCCTCTACAAATTGTTCAACCCTAACTCCCATATTCCTGCTCATTTCATGTTATGTTGATGGAATTCAATTGAAACAGCATTTAGAGAGATTGCTGACTGAATGGCAATGCATGGTTTCTCTATAGTTAGGAAACAAAAGCAGGTCTATCTTTCTTCTTCCATCTTGGCAAAAGATAATGCAATCTAGATCTTCAAAAAGAGGAAAGGAAGAGAAGCCAAGTTTTTGACAAGTATAGGAAAAAATCAAGCAAAAGGCAAGTTGCGTAAAATGTTTTACATACAGTATATGTAGATCACAAATTCACTCTTTATTGGACTTCAGTGCTTTTACTATGCTCAGTCTTAGTTAAAATGAACTCAAAGATAAAATACTAAAATAAGCTGCTACCATTTATTTCCCACTGAAACACAAATCTGGACAAGTACTACACACAACCAACACTTCACTTAGTAGAGAGAATAATTTTTTTTTCCAATTCTTTTCTCTAAATAGTTATAGCTGTTTAGCTTAGTAATATGATCCAGTACTCACCAGCCACCACTGAAGAACCTCTGGTGGGATATCAGAGTTTTCAAGAGTCAGCAGGCAGTTTACGGAGGCATCAAAGAGGTCACAAAACCAATCCCAACTGCTTAGGCCAATACATTTGTTATAGTAACACATTTCCTCTTTCATTAATGAGTTTTGCAGTAGCCTCTCACCAAGATTTTTGGACAAAGATGAAACAGAAATATATATCTTCCAGATGGAAAGTGCAAAGCACAGGGCCAAAACCATCCACAACTTCTTCTTACACATCATTATTCACTCCATCAGTTCAGTTTGAACTCCTAGTTTAGACATCCTTGACGGAAAAGAATCATCATGCTGGGTGATATAACTGCAGCTAAATCTTTTATTCGGGTATTATTAGATTGTTTTCAAAGTAGATAAGTTCTCACTGTACTGGATGTCTTGCTGTTCAGAACTTCAAGACAAAGAAAAACCAAACTAGAGTGTAGTCATTCTGTGAGTAGATACTTATACTGAGATGCCATATCTTCAGAATGCTGCAACATACAAAATGATATGTCAATATTAACCATCTCTCAAAGGACTACTACCATGTGTCTACCATGTGTCATGATAGAATATAATTTGTTGATATTAATAAACAGATTTAAAAGTCCAATAATTCTATATTTCAGTAACCCAAAGCTTTTTCAAGTACAGATTCACAGTGTGTTCTGTTTTGTGTATAATTTGTACCAGAATGTAATGCAATCAGCTTGTATTTTCTGTATATCTCATCAAGTATTTTTTTATCTATTAGAGGATATAGCCACGTTTTGTAGTGAAACAGTTGATCTTCATGGTAACCTTTCCAAAATGTGATTTTGGCATACAGTACTTTATTAGGGGGTATGGCTCATAAGTCAGAACCCACACTGAAACATAAATTTTGATGGTGTATAAGGAATTGTGTAAAAAAGTACTACTTCAAGTCAATTATACATTTCCTGAAAATATTGCAAATATGTAACATTCAAATAGACACCCCAGAATGTTGTAGTATTTCCAGGGAACGGGAAAGACGAAAGAGATTGCAAAATCTCGTATTTACATTGCTGAGTGGCAAATAGAAAAAGATAAATAGAAAAGGCAAATAGAAAAGACAATTGTGGAACTTTCTATGAAACTATGGTGACTTCTTTGCTTAGGGAGGTGAACAGGAACAATTATGTCTATTGTTTTTGACAACACATGTTAGCCTATAATATCAAACTGAAGAATAAGAAAGAAAGATTTTGTTATAGAACACTTTATTATGTGGAGCTCTAGATAGTTAGATAAGTACTCCCCAGATTTCATAAGCCATCACTGACATACATCCAACCTTATGGACAAAAATGGAAGAATGGTAGCTGCTGCTTTCAATATGCAAAAACAGGCAGCATTATGTTTGTACAGGTGCATAGTATACTATGTGACATGTAAAAATTGTCTTAGAAAAGGAATGAAATCTTTGTATGGCCTGGAAACTATCTGTCTTACACATCTGCGAAAATAAATATTCAGGCTAGTTCTGCAGAGAAATCATCTAATCGCAGGGCTTTCCCAAATTCCTAATATTTTTTAAGAGGACAAATCCTTAAATTATACTAGTTATTACATCAGGTAATTATCTTACACAATCCAGTCTTTCCCAATGGAAGTGCTTATTATCAGGGGTGGGATTCAATTTTTTTAACAACCAGTTCTGTGGGCGTGGCTTAGTTGGTGGGCATGGCTTGGTGGTAATGTGACTGGCTGGGCTTGGCTAACTCAACATCACTCACATCGAGGCACACATCTCCTCGCCTGGCCTCTCATGACTGTGGGAATGCTGCAATAGTCATAAGTGTGAAAAATGGTTATAAGTCACTTTTTTCAGTGCCATTGTAACTTTGAATGGTCACTCCACACAAGCAAAGTACCAGCAAAGGAGGGGAAAAAACTCCAGAGAAGTTCCAGAGACAGGAAGTCTAGTCCTGCCAAGAATGTAAAAAGGGTTAACGGAGAGGCAGTTTCTGTAAGCAACACCAGAATGTTTCCTTCCTGCCTTCCTTACAGGATTAGGCCAGTAATTTCTTCTAACAACCAGTTCTCCGAACTGCTTAGAATGTTAACAACCGGTTCTAGTGAATAGGTGCGAACTGGTAGAATCTCACCCCTGCTTATTATCATATATTAAGCCTGATCCCACTGTCACAAATTGTGATTTCTTTCATATTTATCACAAAACACAGTGCACAGAGTGCAAATGTAAGCATCTTCAACCCTACCTTCAGTGTACAGCAATTATTTTCCAGAAATGCTATAATAAACAAATTATTATTGATAATTATAAATAAAAAGGAAATCCTCTGACTCCATGCAGATACAGTTTGTACTTTCTTAACATATCTGAATAGCACCATATCTATGGGATTAAAATGGGCATTATTTTTAAGTAAATAAGGATATAACAAAAATGAACACCTGTAATAATATAAATAGGTTTCAGATGTAATAGGTATATAATTGTTACATGTAATAAAAAACATAATGTTTAGATTCCCCTAAGTATCAACCATTCCAAATATGCATAATCTGATTAAATTATACCAAAGACTGGTGGACAATTATATCTGGCTTCAATCTTTTTTCAATCAGTTAAATACAAAGATGGAAGTCCACTTGGACTTTGATGGGTGTATGCTTATATTAGAACCAGGAAACATTGTAAGTGGTAGGTTCTTAACACTGAAAATAATGTACATAGTTTGAAAGAAAAAAAAGAAAAAGAAAGCAGCTAACAACTAAATTAGTATGAAGAATTTTTCAATTCAGTGATAACTTTTTTGAAAAACTTTTCATTTCACACTTACTCTGGCATTTTTGTAAATTTTTTCCACTTGGGTCATTTTAATACATTTGAAACTTTTATATATCCAAATTGGACTGCAACTATATCAGCGATGGTAAGACAAGCTAACTCTTTCTATTTAATTGCACAAGCTACAACATAACAAATTTCCTGTTCTAACTCCAATTCTATAATTGTTTTCCTCTTTTCTATTAGTAGGGTGATAGATACTTAATATATAATCCCTCCCTTGGCATAAACCTTTCCCAATTCTGGGAGTGAAGAAGTTGAAGGGCTGTAAAATTTGCCCAAGAAAAGTGTTTTCTTTGTCAGTCATGTCCATAGGTTAACTACTTCCGCACAACTGTGATGCTCTTGGGGGTGATTCTCCAATGCTGTTAGCAAAGGGACTATTTTAATAAATCCTTATTAATTATAAGACTCTGGACAATTTCCTTGGTGGTCTTTTTTTTTTCCCCAGAAGCATAGCCAGCAACAAAGTCTTTAATCATTTATTCAATAAAATTATTAACTGACTGATTTATTTGTATGCTACCCATTCCCATAGGCTCTAGGAAGTTCACAATACAAACATATAAATGCTACCCTAGAAGTCCCCAAATACATTTAAGTTGGATTTTTTTAAAAAACAAACTAAACATCAAAAAATACATGTGTTTGCAACCTCACCTTCAAATCACAGATTACTTTCCTTCTGTGCAAGACTGAACAGGTACATCTTCAAAGTTTTCCTGAAGCCTAGGAGACATAATACTAACTGAATTTCCACTAGGAGGGAGCTATGAAGAGTGAGGACAGCTATTGAAAAGCGCTCCATCAAGTGATTAGAAATGGGATCTGGAGGTGGTTGACCCTATTTGATCTGATTTGATAGGCAGTCATAAATAAACAGTCATTCATGGTCTTAAAAATGACAATCAACACCTTGAATCATATCAAAAGCCAACTGATAACCAGCACAGTTTCCAAAGCAGTGAATCACACTGCTTGGGACTTTTCATTCTGCAACCACTGTAATTTCCTCATGTTCCTCAAGGCAGCTCTGTATAACTTGCATTGCACATGGGAAATGATTAGGGCAGGACTTTGAAGTCCAGGAAGGGTAAAAAGTTGTGCATAAGATGTTACTATGCAAAATCCTTCCCGGCTACTCTTGCAATCTGCATTTAAGCAGGATCTGCGAGTCTAGGAGACCTCCCAAATTGTAGACTACCTCTGAAGGGGGAACTATAAGTCTTCAGAATCAAAGGTGGAATTTCCCAGAAATGGTTAAGCTCCCAAATTCCCCAGTCACTTCATCTTGGAAAGTTCCAATCCCTTGACTTGTGATGCTACTCCAGACAGCATTCACTCTTTCTTATTAGTTACATAGGATTCAGATGTTTCTGGTGGAAAAAAGTTTACTAAAGGAAAACAATACATAACAGAAAGATTAAACAGAAAGAGAATTAATACAGGTAGTCCTCAACTTACAACAGTTCATTTAGTGACCATTCAAAGTTACAACGGCACTGAAAAAGTGACTTATGACCAGAGGTGGTATTCAGCAGGAACTGACCAGTTCTGCAGAACTGGTAGTGGAAATTTTGAGTAGTTTGGAGAACTGGAAAATACTACCTCTGACTGGCCCCACCCCCATCTATTCTCTACCTCCTGAGTCCCAGCTGATCGGCTGGGTCTTCTTTTGTTCCCCTGCACAGGAGAATGGAGCTGGAAAGCAGGTTAGTGGGATGGGGAGGGAATGGGGATTTTGCAGTATCCTTCCCCTGCCATGCCCACCAAGCCACGCTCACAGAACTGGTAGTAAAAAAAAAATTGAATCCCACCACTGCTTATGACCCCATGGTTATGTGATTTACACTCATGTGCTTGACAACTGGTTCATACTTATGACAGTTGCAGTATCCCATGTTCACCTGATCACCTTTTGTGACCTTCTGACAAGCCAAATCAATGGGAAAACTAGATTCATTTAATCAATGTTGTTACTAATTTAACAGATGTAATGATTCACTTAATAAATGAAGCAAGAAAAGTAGTAAAATGGAGCAAAATTCACTTAACAAATTTCTCACTTAACAACATAAATGTTGGGCTCAATTGTGGTCACAAGTCGAGGACTACTGGTATAGGGTTTTAAACAATACAGTAGGAAAGGGGAAAAAAACAAAAGAAATAAGTAAGGATAACCAAGAAAATATATTTTCAGAAATTCAAGAAACATATTTACCTGGGAATCAACTCCACTGAATTCAGTGAAAATTACAGTTGGGAATACGTGCCAAATTGGATTGCTGTTGATGATGACGTTATCTATTCAGCCATGTCCAATTCTCGGCTATTCTATGGGCCAGGTCTATCCTTGTCATCTGATCTTGCACTACTACTTTGAATTATTCTATGCTCTGGCTGGTGTCAACTTTGATAATGAGTAATGGCTTATAAATACTCTAAATAAAAGAGGAAGAAAAACCACATGGGAAAAGTGAAGCAAATACTCAGAGAGGCAAAAATTGAAAGAACAGAAGATGGCAAGTTCTGCATTTCTGGCGATGGCTCATCTTGCTTCTGTAAACAGAAGACAAATGTACCTGGCCAGTGGGACAACTGGGTTGGGCAGGGAGGAATGGATATAGAAATAGATGAGCAGAGATTTTAATAATTAGTTGTCTCAACATTCATATCTACCAGTTGGGTTTGACATAGTAAAGTAAATCCTAATCATTGCTTTACTAATACACACAGTTTCTTCACTAAAGCATTAAACCATGGTTTACCAAGCAATTGAATAGGTTATACAGGACACTAAACCAAAACTAAGTAAACCATAAATAAACAAAGGGGGAGAAATCAATATCTTGCTAACCTGCAACAATGTGTATTTGTCTCCAGAGGGCATTACTACTCTGTGCTCGTATGTTAAGTGCAATGTCTTTCCATGTTGACAAGTCAAATTATTCTTTATAGCAACAACAGTTTTACCCAATATCAGAGATGCAAGCCTCAACTTGAAGTTCACTCCAGGCTTTGAATAGCACATCAAAGTTCACCCACTGAAAGTGGGTGGAGACATTAGAACTTCAAAGGCTGAAAAGAAAGCCTTAACACCTGCAAAATGTAATGTAACATTAACTCCCTCAATTCTTAAAAATGCAAAAGGACGAATGAATTTTGGACCCACACAATTTGAGAAAGCTGTGGGATCACCAAGGGATGCTGGTGGGTAGGCATTTTTCTTGCTTGCATTTCAGTTTTGGTCACCTAAACTGAGATATAAATTAATCAGCTAGCATTCAAAGACTTCTGGTAGAGTTTTTAGCACAAGTAGGCAAATCAGTAGGAAATGCAATTGGCTGTGGACCAACTGATGAATAATGGGAGGTACTTCGTGGTAGGAGTTGTTTGTCTGTTGACCTACACCTTTTTTTTAAAAAAAACATAAGATTTGTTTCCATTTTTTCCTAACATGTTCAGTAACAGTCTCCTCTCCTCATCTCCCTCCCCTTCCCTTCCTATCAGTTAGACAATTGCTCTTACACCCAGATTCCCCCTCCCTTTTCCTTCCTCCTTCTGGGAAGAAAAGCAGAAATAGATAGTTGTGTATGTGTACATTTGAGTTACAGAGTGCACTCTGTCTGTAGAATGGATTGAGTGTGAAAGAGACAGTGTCATCTGCAGGAAATGTTCAAAAACAGTTCAGATGGTAACCATAATGTTGCCATAAAAGCAGACACCACCAGAGAGAAAGAATAACCGGTATATTTTGATGGGAATCAGTTACTGGGATAGCTAACATCCCTCATCTTACACATGACTAGTTACATTTATTTTAATCAATAGTTATTTAATATTAGTGAACAGTTATCCAGATCCTGTTGGTTTTTACATTCCTCATACAGTTGAAATGAATTAAAAATAAACATTTCACATAAGCATACATTTAGATGCATGCAAATGTATTGGGGAGGTGGAATTTTCAAGAACCCAGGAACTTATCTCAGGGCCAAGTCCAAAAGGTAGCTTATAGTCATTCAGTCACCCTTTTTCTGAGTCCTTGCTATTTAAGTTCTCTGCTCACAGCTCAGACGAGCTCATAAGGACTTAAGGGCGGCTGCCCATGGGTGAATGCACAGCCAAGATACCTGGCCGGATATTATTCTTAGGAACCATTCACTCTCCTCTCAACTGCCAATGCACATGACCTGGAGGTCTCCCCTTTGATTTGTCCCTTAGGCAGTGGTGGATCCAAGCATGCCTTTCCACATTCTACACCAAACTGTTGTCCCCAAAACTGGCCTCTTGCTTGGCGTCGAAACCGATAAGTCACCAGAGTCAAGGTGTGGTACAAAGTTATACTTTTATTTTGGTACCAAGATATAAGGGCCCTGGCTCAAAAGCTAACCAAGAATTTTACAGCAATTTTTATAGCCAAGGGGTGGTCATATTCAATCCTTTGCCCTTCCTCTAATAATGCATGCATTACAGATAATATTGATTGGTTATTTGGATTTCAGCCCCCTAAACCTTTACACTTATTATACTAAATAGCTTTTCACTCCAGGTCATGAGTATTTTGCAAAGTGTCCTAGCTTCATGTGCCAGCTTTGTGGTTTTGGGGTTTTTTCTTATAAGTGAGCTATTCTTGTTCTTAATATCCTGGCTAGTGGTTTTCTAACAGGCAAGGTGCTAACTTCTGCCTCATTACGAATGTGCAGCCCCACCCCCTTCCTATTGCAGAGCAGCTCAAGGCAGCACCCGCAACCCCCTCCTTCCGCAGAGAAAAGTAAAAGCTGATTTAAGTCTTTGTCTGAGGCAAGACCCTCACTCCCACGCAACCCCTCTCCTTCTGCAGAGAGAGAAGACAGGAAGGAGCAGGGCTGCTTAATTGTCTGTTTTAAGGCAAAGAAATGAAGACAAGAGAAAATGTTTTATCAGAATTCACATTCCTCACTCTCACGTCCATTCCATCCATACCTGGGTCCTATCTCCACCTATGACCTTCCTCTGACCCCCAGGGCCTCCTCTGTACATACATTCCATCATCTGATCCTTCAGTATCAAAAGAGGCATGTAATAAAATTAACGAATTTCAAACATTAAAAGTCAGATCCTGCATTGTATTGTGAAGCACAAATCTTAGGTAAATCCTAGATTTATACAATGCCAGGAAAAGAATCTGTGAATGGATGAGTTCTGGCTAGCATATTAGAATACATTTCAAAGGGGTAATCTTTTTGTTTTTTTCCTTACTTTTAGCAATGTTACATTTTTACACTAAAGGATGAACCAATTTATTATTGTATAACATTTTATGGATTATAGAATGCTTTGTCCGATACTACAGTATAACCTCATGAAGTGGAATAAATTAAAGCTTTTGCAAAAATTTCTGTTAGATTTTGTAGTGTTATAAATCTTTTCATTAACATAAATTAACAGTAGCACAGTAAAATGCTTTCACAAAGCTTTTAAAAAATCTTGCTATCATTTCTATCGCCCCTTGGGGTTTGTATATTTATAATGCAGTGGCCTTTGGCTAAAAGAAAGAACAGTTAAAATTTCTACAGGCAGCTTACAAGGCAAATTAAATTCATTTCTTCCTTTTGCTTGAATGTTCTGTCATGCATTTACAAAGCTTATTCATAATAATGTACATTTAAAAAGCAATTTTCTAGTTTTTCTTTAGCATGAAAGAGAACACATGGCAGTGTGTCCTAAAGCCTAAATAAGCGCTTAACAGGAAAAAAGCGAAGAGTCATAATCCCATACTTTCAATAGTCTGGTCAAATCTATTGATAACAGAATTATTCCAGAAGATTTTTCAGGAAAAACTCAAAATTACATTACAGTACACTAATGAGTGTGCAGCCTGTTAATGAGACAAATTGAAAAAAGGTTTGTAATATACTCACTTGTGCTGCAAGCTGTACTTTCTACATAGAGACCTCATGCCAATAAATAGTATTTTCGTTTCTATGAATGTTTAGGCCCTTTCTTGTTTGTTCTTCTTTTCTCAGTAAAAAAAATCTTAATCCCCTCCAGCCATAGGCTACAATTTAAAGGTTCTGGTATTTTAGCTAGAGGAGAAAATTTGCAAAACATAAAGAAATAAAGATTTAACAGTCTAACACCAACCACATTAGGAGGAGAATGCACATTTTCAAAAAGGAAAAAAAACAATTAGAAGTGGTTTCCTGTGTCTTTGCAGATGTGACGCAATGCACAGATGCTCTGTGATTAAGTTGTTGGTTGACCATAACACATTTTGTTATTAATTTGGCAGTTGTATTCCTTTTCTATTTGAGGCCATAAAATTTGGCTACAGTATGAAATATCTGCTGTTTTTATACTAAATTCTTCAGGGTTGTTGTTGATCTTTTCATTAGGTGACTTTTCAGGGCCTTTCTGGTAAAAAAGGCTTTCCATCAGCAGAAAACAATACCCACATACTGTCTCTATTGCCAGATCCTATCCTGCATTGATTATGAGTTGCTGATGAATGATGTCCTGATTTTGTGTGTGCGATATGTGGTAGCTAAATTGTTTGGTTGAGTCCTTCAGTCCTTTCTTGCTCTCCCTCTTAAGCATATCACTAACCAGTGAGGAAAACATTATAATAATTCAAAATTATCATTATCAAATAATAACAACTCAATATATATTCCTCCTAAACTGTAATATTATAAACAATTGTAACATCTAACCAGTGGTGGGATTCATTTTTTTTTACTAGCGGTTCTGTAGACGTGGCTTGGTGGGTGTGGCAGGGGAAGGTTACTGCAAAATCCCCATTCTCTCCCCACCCCACTAACCTACTTTCCAGTTCTGTTCTCCTGTGCAGGGCAACAAAAGAAGACTCAGCCGATCAGTTGGGACTTGAGAGGCAGGGAATAGATGGGGTGGGGCCAGTCAGAGGTGGTATTTGCCGGTTCTCCAAACTACTCAAAATTTCCACTACCGGTTCTCCAGAACTGGTCAGAACCTGCTGAACACCACCTCTGCATCTAACAACACCCAAACAATCCACCTCAGATGCATCTCTCAACCTTGTCCCAGTCCCCCAAACATATTCACTGAAAGTTTTTAAGAAGAGATTGGATAACCATTTGTCTGTAGTTTTGAAGTGGTGTAGGGTTTCCTGCCTAAGCAGGGGGTTCGACTAGAAGACCTTCAATGTCCCTTCCAATTCTTCTATTCTATTCTATTCTATGCTATTCTATTCTATTATGTATGGAGAGATATAGTGACTGGTTTGGGCATAAACCAGATTAGCTTAAAAAAAAAACCTCATACCATTAATTCCTTTGACTTAACTATTTTTACTTGCAATCTACACTTTACATAATGTACTGTAATGGGTATGTATGTCCATATATACTGTATAAAATTTATGTTTCTGACTTTATTAATTTGAATCTTATCTGAGTATTTGCATGTTCACATGTGTACTGCAGGAACATAAGAAATAATAATAACCTCTAATTTTAAGTACAATCTGTAAAAGTAAAAGAAGAACACTGTAAATGATTCTGAAAAAAATCTCTAATGGCACAACCCAGTCAAAACATGACTGTTGAAGAAAGCTCTTGATGATGTTAATTACTGATAGCAAGGGTTGTTGCCCATACTTTTAGATCTCACAGTAAGCCCTGGTTTCTCTAAAAACAAGTGATGGGATTCAAAAAAATTTACTACCTGTTCTGTGGGCATGGCTTGGTGGGCATGGCGTGGCTTGATGGGTGTGGCAGGGGAAGGTTAGTGCAAAATCCCATTCCCTCCCCACCCAGTAACCTGCTTTCCAGCTCTGTTCTCCTGTACAGGGCAACAAAAGAAGTTCCAGCCGATCAGCTGGGACTCGGGAGGCAGAGAATAGATGGGGGCACAGCCAGTCAGAGGTGGTATTTGCTGGTTTTCCAAACTACTCAAAATTTTCTGTACTGGTTCTCCAGAACTGGTCAGAACCTGCTGAATATCCCCTCTGCTAGAAACTATTCTACAAGTGTTGGCCTCCTCATTATGAAATTCCCTCCTATCTTTGCCTTTTGTAGTGAATTGTTGTTGTTAGTCACGAAGTCGTGTCCGAGCCATTGTGACCCTATGGACAACATTCCTCCAGGTCTTCCTCTCCTCTATCATTCCTCACAGTCCATTTAAGCTCACACCTACTTCTTCAGTGACTCCATCCAGCCACCTCATTCTCTGTCATCCCATTCTTCTATTGCCCTCAACCATTCCCAGCATTAGGCTCTTCTCCAGTGAGTCCTTCCTTCTCATTAGGTGGCCAAAGTATTTGAGTTTCATCTTCAGGATCTGGCTTTCTAAAGAGCAGTCAGGGTTGATCTCTTCTAGGACTGACCGGTTTGATCTCCTTGCAGTCCAAAGGACTCGCAGGTGTCTTCTCCAACACCATAGTTCAAAGGCCTCAATTCTTTGGTGCTCACCCTTCTTTATGGTCCAACTGCAGAGAATACTAGTGTATTCTTTGATGCATAGTAAAATAACTTACTGCATCCGCATAGCCCTCTGTCAACCCTTTTAAGGCAACCTGCATCATTTAGGCAAGGATGAGTCAGAAGAGCCACTGGCAGCCCACTGTGAGTTTTTAACACTACAGTTTGCAGAATCACTACAAGTCATGCAGTGTTTGAGGCCAACTAGACAGAACCTAATAAGAAGTCAGGATTAATAGTGTGGAACTTGCATTGGTAGCCAGTTCATTTCCAGTTGCAAGTAAAGACATGTGTGATCACTTACAAAGTCCTACATGAGTTGGGACCTGTTTTTTTCCAAATCTGTTTCCTATAAATAGAAATTGATTATCCAAGGCATCCATGTAAGAGAGTGTGAGATTTAATGATAGAATCCTTGAAAACAGGCACTCTCACTGATTGAAAGCCCTCCCAGCAGATATTAAAACGAGCTCTTTATTTTTAATATTCAGCCAGATTTAGAAATACAGCTTTTATAGAATAGAATAGAATAGAATAGAATAGGATAGGATAGAATAGAATAGAAATGTTGGAGCATTTACAACTTCTGGAGGCAAGTTGTTCCACTGATTAATTGATCTAACTCTCAGGAAATTTCTTCTTAGCTCTAAGTTGCTTTTCTCCTTGATTAGTTTTCATCCATTATTTCTTATCCTACCCTCAGGTGCTTCTGAGAATAGCTTGACTCCCTCTTCTTTGTGGCAGTCCCTGAGATAATGGAACACAGCTATCATGTCACCCCTAGTCCTTCTTTTCATCAAATTAGACATACCCAATTCCAGCAACCGTTCTTTATATGTTTTAACCTCCAGTCCCCTAATCATCTTTGTTGTTCTTCTCTGCACTCTTTCTAGAGTCTCAATATCTTTTTTACGTCGTGGTGACAAAAAGTGGATGCAGTATTCCAAGTGTGGCCTTACCAAGGCATTATAAAGTAGTATTAACACTTCACGTGATCTTGATTCTATCCCTGTTTATGCAGCCTAGAACTGTGATGGCTTTTTTGGCAGCTGCAGCACACTGCTGCACACTCATCAGCAAACTATTTTTACTTCTACATGTACATATACCTCTTTATATGCTGCCTTTTGTTCATTAAAATTCCCACTTCTCTCTTTTTCAGGAACTAAAAAGCTCCATTCAATCATAATTTTCTTGTTCTTCCTCTTAACCCATTCACTCTTGCTTTGTTGTTGTTGTTTTATTTGTTTTGAAATTGGCTCTTAATTCATTTTCTCTATACAGCCAAAGTATATCAGTGTATTCCTTTCATACTGCTTACTCCCATTCACATTCAATCTGCATTCATTAAGCACCCATTAATTCTTGATCTTTTTTAAAAAAAACAACCCATATACTCTTTTTAAGTACTAAATATACAAGTTCATCAACCTGGTCTAATTTTGCTCTAATTTGCACACCCAATCTTTTTTATACATAGGCTAAATTTCAGATTATGTTTATTTATTTTGAAAGTCAAAAAATTTAATGAAAAGCTCTTAATGAATATTATTACTGCATCATGAATGCCTATGTTGTGATTCAGTCACTTTTGAGCTACCACAATACTTTTGCTGTGTTCCTGAATACAGTAATCCAAAGGCTTCTAAACAAACTGCTCCAAATGCCATCACTCCAAAAGCACTGCGCTGTTATTTCATCACCCATGCCTTCCTTAAATGTGTTAAGAATGTAATATTTTTTTTAATGTTTATTGATACATGATTCCAGGTCACTATACTCTACACTGTTTTCTGTAAAGATTATGTGGCTCATATAGCATTCCATTGAATACATGTAAAATTTATAGCGTTCAGAAGTTACATCTCCCAATACCTCCTAAAGATTGAATTTGAGCAAATCTGAAGGACTAGAAATTCCCTTAACTTTCGATAACAAGGACAATAGATCTGGACTGCCAAATCTACATAATCTTTAGAAAGCTAAAAAATTTTGTTTCTCTTTGCTGCCATGTAGTGGCCATCTACATGTTTGCAGTCCTGATTTGGTAGCTGTTTGCCATATGAATACAAATTAATAATTTTCAAACAATTTTAGCAATATTGAGTTCTGGATTTACGTATGCTTTCTTTCTTAAGGTATATATATTATTTCAGTATTTGCAAAAAACACAAAGATTTCACTCATTTAAAAAAAAATCCTGATGTGAACTTTTTGCTGAAAGAAAAAAAGTCTGAACTGATAATTTATGGATTTATGTATTAGAAACGGCTACAGAGGGGGAAAAGTAACGTGCCAATTACTTGATAGAAAGAAGGACAGAAGTCAAAGTTCTGTTTTTTTAATTCTTTTTTCTTTTCTTTTTTCTTATTCCTTTTCTTTTCTTTTTTATACTTTTATTGTAATGTAAAATTTTAACTAAAAAGTTAAAAGGGATTAGCATTCTGGTTTTTAAATTTTAGTTTTATTTATTAAATTTCAGTAACATTAAAATTACATAGCAGTTTGTGTTCATGTTGCTATTTAGAATAAGCATTTCTGTTTGCATTTCATCCAGAATCACATGTACTGCGTACTACTCTATTTATATACATGAAGGTAGAAAAATCTAGGTTCCACGAACAGTCATGTTAAGGTTTTTTCTCTTTTTCTCTTTCAACATATGGCCACTTTCTACTT